AAAAGTAAGTATTCGGCCTAAAATTTGGCCGAATATTCGGTATTCGGCCCCATCACTATTCGTTACATCACTAGTAATAACGAATGTCAAGCATTTAAAGTATCCAGTTCAAGAATGTCAAGTATCCAAATGACTTCACTTATTAAATTAAAAAAGAAAAAATAATAATAAATAAATATCCGCAAGACAGGTGTGTATATTTGGGGCTGATGATTATGAAATCTAACACAAAACTGTGAGATCGCGGGTTCTATTCCAGCAGATGACAGTTTTTTATTATAATTTCTAAATGCTGAAAAATGTATTTCTTATTTTTTTTAAAGTATATGCATGTTAAAAACTAATAATTTAACACGTATTTAAAAAACTAGAAAGCTACACCCCCTGTTCATTTTGCACACTAACCCTCATGGTTGCTTCAGATTAATCACTGCAGATTAAGAGGAAAAACGGTTTATTTCCATCTTTTTATTCTACAAAAATTACGATTGAATTTCTATTTACATTTTGAAGATGACTAAAATTTGGCAAATCAATGAAATTTGTACCTCCTGCAGAGTTATTACCCAGTGAAGATGGACTCAGAGGATTACCCAGTGGAAGGGCACTGAGTTCGAATCCCAGTGTTGACTGGTCGATACGATTCTACACCTGGCTTACACCTACCACTGTGCCGAAGTAAAATATCCTCAGTGGTAGACGGATCATAGGTTAGAGTCCCCTTGTTGTCAGACTGACAGTGAAAGCTTTTGTGGTTTTCCTCATTATGTAACTTAAATGCTGGTCAGTTCATCAAAACGTCCCCCAAGACAAAAATTTCTTCCAATACTTGATCCTGGAGTTCCCTTGTGTTCTGAATTGAGTTTGAAATTAGAAGTCTAAAATGTTGAACATTAGTAGTCGTAAACTCGAAATTGGGTTGGCTGTTCAATGACTATTATAAAATAAACTAATAATTTCGCCGGGATAGCCTGGTTGGTAGGGCGTTGAACTCGTGTTCGTGGGAATGGGATTTCGAATCCAGCCGGCCGAAGAATACCCATGTATAAAATGGTGACTGGTGCATGTTAAATCTGCCGTGGTCACAAAGTCCTCTAAGTTCTCACAACAAATCAATAGCTTCGGGGTCTGATCCAGTTCTCTTGTCTTCTGGATTGAGTTCAAAATTATAAGGTGATTATTCAATATCATACGGAGTTAAACATTTGTAGTCGTAAACTCAAAATTAAGTCGGCTGTTCAACGGTGGTTATAAAAAAAATAAAACTAATAATCAAATTGTATTTTCATATCTTGCTTATTTTTGACACACCTTCATAATTTCATGTTTCTAAGCCATAGAGCAGCAAAGCGAAATGTAACGTTAAAAAAATAGAAAAAAAAAAAACAATTTAGAAAAAAAATTCGCAAAAAAAAAAGAAAAAAAAAAAAAGAAAAAAAGAAAATCATTTAAAATTCCAAATAACATCTATTCAGAATTTCAATAAAAAAAACTCTGTTAAACATATAATGGTTCTTCTAACATGCCAAATCTTTACTCTGTGCTTAAAATACGCTTATGATGTTCTTAAAATGAGTTTCTGTTTTTTTCCTCGTTCAAAAAATATGTGCAATAATAGAAATGCTCTACATTATAGTCCCATCACAATCAATATATTTAACAATCAAGCAATATTATCAAATTTTTAATAATATAATGTTAATATTCAGCAATAAAAAATACGACAGTTTACTTTAGGTGTTCAGAAATAGAATTGAACTTAAAAGGGCCCCATCATTTTCAGTAGCTTAGGGCCCCACCAAGCTTAAATCCGGCCCTGTTAAGACATGTCGCGGTCAACACGAATAGCAATAAAGCAATACGATAAACTGCAACATGCGGTAGGCTATAATATTTTCCTAAAAAAGTCAGGCCAGTGTTGGTAAGTAATTTTTTTTAACCGAAAATACTTTTCAAATGCAAATTTAATAAGAGTAAATGTTCGAAAGAGTTTCGAACCTCTGCTTGTATATGCATTATAAGTTTCTTAATTTGAACCCCACTTTTGTTTCTTTTCGACATTTCTAATAAAAATAAAATAAAAAAATAATAATAAATAAATAAAAATTGACATGAACTTCAGATTTTCAGATCAGGGTCTAAAAATTTGGCCGTTTTGAAGTTTAGAGAAATTTTGAAGTATTTTCTTAAAATTGGAACAATATGAAATCATGCAAACTTTCAACGTATGTCAGTAATTTTAATAAAATTGCCTAAAATTGCCTATTTTGAAATTGCTTAAAAAGGGGAAGGAGTGGGGAATATTAAAATTCAAAAATCGAAAAATACATTTGGACTGACCCTTTCGCGCGATTTCTGCTTTTGGTAATTACCTTTTGTGCGAAAATGATAAAATGTTATGAAAATGGATTGAGTTTTCAAAGCAAAACAAATCTGGTGTTATATACCTTTGCGATTTCCGATTAGAAAGTTTACAGCTACTTACTGCAGCTTATTGTAAAAGGTGATATTTTCGAACATATAATTTTGCTTTCAATAAAAGAAGCAAATGATATAATTTTTGACCTTAAATCTGCTGCATTTAATAAGATATTAATGTTATTAATTAATTCTAGTGAGTTTGAAGTGAAAATTTATTTAAGTTATTTATAGATATATAGTTAAAAAAAAGGAACATGGTTGTTTTATTTAGAAAAAGCTCATCTTTTTGGCTGCCCTGATTTGTCTTCTCTTGTCTTGTTCGTTGCATCTTGCAGTGCATCGTGTGTACTGAAAACATTATAATGTTAGCAAGCACCGATCAAGACAAATTCAGGCCCAAGGCCCACCACATTTTCTGGGCCCTTTACAAAATATTTTGAAATTAAATTACTTCAGAGTAGTCCTAGCAATAAAAAAGAATCTATTGAACTGCATGCAGAGCCGGATTATACCTTTCGTAGGCCCTAGGCACAGAGCCGGATTATACCTTTCGTAGGCCCAAGGCATAGCCGTTTTTGGGCCCTCCCCTCCTTCCCCCACTCCTCCCCTCTTTTCAAAATATATACTGAAATTTTCTTGCATATTTTTTTTTACACTTTTATTAATATGGATTTTAATTTACGAATTTGTTTATCGAACTTTATCTGCAATACCGACAAGTGTAATGCATAAAGTAAGAGAAAAAAGAAAGATACTCCTAACTTTAAAGAAAAAAAAATGGTAGAAATATAACATTTAAAAGAATAAAAAATTTACAAGTTTAGACAAGAAAAACAAGTTTAAAAAATACAAAATTTTCATATTTATTTTTCAAAAATAATTACAATTCCTAAATTAACTTATATAAACAAAACCAATGATTAAATAACGCAATATATTTCATACCTAATTAAACGGGGGGGGGGGGACAATAAAATAAAAGGAAAAGTTATTTATCTAAATCAAAACACTTGAAAATTATCGAACCGAAACGATAGTTAAAAAAGGCACTAGCATAAATATTAAAACCCGGAACAAGGCAAGATCAACGGAATTTAAAAAAAAAAAAAAAACTAATGATAAAATTTATGAATAAAAAGAATTTATTGAGTGCGAAATTTATCGTGAAAAGAAAAAAAAATCAAACGCAGTGGAATCAGAAAAACAAAACTGTTTATCTGATTCCACTACTTTTGATTTTTTTTTTTAAATTTTTTTCTCCCAAGTTTTTCGTAGGCCCCTGAATTTCGTAGGCCCTAGGCACGTGCCTAGTGTGCCTATAGGCTAATCCGGCCCTGACTGCATGATTCAAGAGAAACATAGTAAGAAATTCTGAAAGCAGATAGTTGAAGATTATTTTTCTAAGATAAAATTTACGCATATATAAATTAAAGCAAAATATAAGACAGCAGAACAATGTTATGCCAAAAGAAAAATAGTTTGGTGACCACAAACAATTGGGTATAATATGAAAAAAAGCACAACTACTTCCACTTACTAGGAATAACATTTACCTTTTAGTTTAATTAATAAACTGAGTTTTAAATATGTTTACTAAATTCATAAACTTCGGTAAAACAACAATATAAATTATTTCCAAAAGAACTAGACTAATACAATTCCAACCTGGCGAGTAGCGACTTATAAACAAGACACTTCGTTTGATGCTTTTACTTGTTGCTAGAAATCAGGTTCGCAGAAAATGCTGTTTCCTAGTTAAATTTAGTAGGAATAACACGATCTGTGACGTAGGCTATAGTATCGCCAATTGAAATCACTGATTAGCTGAATTATATTTTCCATTGTAAGCTGTAATTATTTTTTATTTAGTACTTAAACCAACACAAAGCTAGCCTACCTTACATTAGCCTTTTTACAAATTTTTGAGGCTTCTCAGAAACTGTGTGCCCTAGGCCCATGCCTATCGGGCCTAGGTGATAATCAGGCCCTGAGTGTTAGCATTTAGAGTAACGAGACTAAGTTTAATTTAAAAATTATCACTTTGAATTGAAATACACTCCATACAGTAAAAACATGCTGAAATAATGGACATCAAAATACACTGCATACAGTAACCTGGAAATATGGGCTTAAGGAGCTTGCAACGCTCCTTAGTGTAAAAAACATTGACGACCGAAATGGGCTACAGATAGCTCATAGCAGAACTCTTTACCTGCAGCTACACTAAGTATATCTTCATCATTAATCATTAGTGTGTGGATAGTCATATAGGAGTAGAAAATACATTAGTTTCTGTCTTGATTTTCAAAATTATTTCGAATTTTGTATCAAACTTAAAATAATAATATTGGTGCATTACTGTTTATAAATTAGTACAAAGTTACAGATATGAAATTTATTGCGATTCAAATTAAAAAAAAAAGGCATTTACTTTTACCATTGGCTCTAGTGACGTATTTAGCACATCTAAGTAATTCAAAGTAGTAGTTATTTTTTTTCCATAAGTTGCTATTTATTCTTCTGTGAGTATTGCACAAGTATTTTATTTAGCAGTTTGGCAACGATGCAAAAATAGTATTTTCGAAATATATTTTTATTTTTTTTATGTTTACAAATTACAGGTGGTAGTGGTGGTGTGCTTGTTCTGTTATTGGCAAAACTTAAGAAGGAATAAATTTTTGATTTCAAATTTTGCGTTATCATTGTAAAATAAAACATTTTACAATATGTCAGCCCAAGATCAAATGCGCCGAATGCTTGACGAATTAATGGGAACTAGACGAAATGGTAATTAATAATTAAATATATTTTTCATTTTCTTCTTTAGTTTGCGAACGATTAATTTTAGTTCTCATTCTATAAGTATGGGAAAATATTGGAAAATGATGATTTCGCTGTTACTTTATTCTTTTAATTTCGTCATCAGAAATTTAACCCCAATAATAAATTTTATAAGGTTAGAGTAAAATATTTTTTTTGCATACATATATTTTTGTGAGTGGAGCTCAGAAAATCAACAAGTTGTGATTAAAACGTGAATTATTTGCAGCATATGGAAGGGAAATTGGTTTAGGCTGGTGATTTGTTTTTGAAATATAGTTTCAGTATTAAAATAATTTGTTCATTTACGAATTGAATTAAGTTTTTATGCGTTCATTCTCAATCTTTGTCAGAAAATATTTATTTTTACTTATAAAGCAGCTTCAGTATCATTTCGGACTACTCGTATCAAACCTTATAATCACAATTTTTCGTTAATCAAATGATGGTTATCAAAAAGTACAAAAGTGGCACTAAAATTTCTCTGTAAAACTTTCTGATTAGATAGTATTAGAATCATTTTATAAAATTTTTGTTCTAACATTTAGCATAATTTTTTTTTCAAATTCTTTTAAATTTTTGTTTTCATATGAAAACATATGGTAATTATAGGGGATAGTAAAGCACACTTACCTGACTGGAGGACCTATGTCTTTCCCAAAAAAGAAATTGGAAGATATACTGACCAAAAAATTATAATGAGAGCTTTTTGAACTTAGATTGATTATAAATTGACAATTTTTGCTCTTATTGTTTCTGTTATTTTTATTACATATACTGTAAATCAAGGGTGGGCACTAGTTTTGGTGCTGCGTTTAATTTTAGAATGAGACACCTGCGCACAATCACTGTTTTCTTCATCATTTAAAAAAAAAAGAAAAAAAAACTAGGCAATGGATTATGCATTGTTTGTTGAAATTTTTACACCCCATTTTCAAATGCTATCAATATTTCATATGTTATGTTTCCATGGGAATACTAAATGATAGAAATATCAAATAATTTTCTTTATATTTGAAATTATTCATACTTGTTGTAAATAAACTGTATCATTCTTTAATTTTTTGTTGTTGGTATTTTACATCAATTCGCATTAGAATGATTTAAAATAAGTCTTGCTGCATTGCACTGCTAATTACAGTGAACCTTTGAGGAAAGACTAACTCTGTGTAGTAACCTCCTCTATTTACAACCTATTATGGGAGGCACTAAATTTTTTCTATATACTTTGCGTTGATAACTTTTAGGCGAGACCATCAAACCTCTCCTATCGACTGGGCAAAACTCTGCTTGAAATTGCGAAAAAGTTTAACTAAGGAAACACGAAAAAACTATCAAAACAAAGAGTATTTACAAAGTGAATAAGTAGATTCAAATGTATTCAAAATATATGTGAGTGGCTCTTATTTAGAGAGCTCTTTTTGGCAATTTCTGAAGGAGATCATCAACCTCTTGTTGTAGTTAGAGTGTTTGATTTCTAAAAAATTTATATTTGTATATTACTCTATGCGTATATATATTTGCTACATCTTTGAATTTTTCGAGGAATGAATTGTTTTGGGCAAAATCATTACAGTTTTGTTCTATACATCAGTCAGTTTACTATCTACTAAACTGCAATGTTAGCTATGTTTGAAATCATGTAGATTCAATTGTAGTTTGTAGATGTTGACCATCAATGTGCTTAATCCAGGGTTGGCAAGGTTTAGGACAGAATGGATTAATCCACGGTTTAAACCCTGGTTTAAACCGTCCTGTCCAAAACTGTCTTAAACTGTCCAAAACCCTTTTACTCAAATTATGTCACAATTTTATCTGAACAATATTTAAGAGGTAAAATAAACATAGAACTAATAACATATTGATAATTAAATATACTAGAGAATATTTGTTTTTAAAAGTATTAGTCTTCTCATTCAATAGTACATAACTGAAGTTTGGCCTTGCCATACAGGTTAAAATATTAGGGACTAAGTGCTTAGTTCGTCATAAACAGGTTTATTTATCTATAGTACTATTCAAGAATACTTTTATTTCATTCATGTTCAATTCTTTTAGCATAGTGGTGATACATCACCAGTGTCAGTAACCGAAACTGATGTTATGCCCTTCAAAACTGTTAATACATTTTTCAATTATTTTGTATTTTCAATTTAAACTAATATATTTATATTTAAAAACAATTTTTTTAAAATAAATGTCTTTTTTTATCATCCTGTGATGCAGAAATTATAACATTTTTTAAAAAAAATATTGTGAAAAATAATAGGTTAATTTTTGAAAAATTTAGTTTTTTTTTAAGAAAAATTATTATTTTTTAATATTGCCATATTTATCCTTATGCAAAAATATTATTTATCAGTATTAAAAGCATATTTATATTTAAGAGATTAGGTATTCACTTTTGTTGTTCAATGAATTGTGGAGCTTCAAAAATTATAAACCTTCTCCTATTATATTATATTATTTTCTTTTAATAAGTTATAGTAAATTGTATAAAAAATATCAAATATTTATTGATACATGTAATTATTACGTGTACAATGGTTACACCTACAGAATTTTTACCTTTTACCAAAGTTCCAAGGTTTTGGACAGTTTAGGACAGTTTTACCCAGTTTAGGACAGTTTTACCCAGTTTAAGACAGTAAAACCCACATGTCCTGTCCAAAACCAGTTTAGGACGTCCAAAACCCCAACCCTGGCTTAATCATATCTATTATTATTTATAATTCTAAACTGTTGGGGTTTTTTGTTATATTTAAAATTTTGAAGTTTTGTTAAATGTAGATTTGTTTTTTTCAACTTTCTTGCTATTAATCTGTAGGGGAAGATACACGTCAAGAAAAGCTTCATTATTCTAGTGTGAGAGTATGCAAAAGTTTCCTCCTGAATTGTTGTCCTCATGAGATATTGAGAGATACAGTAAGTATGAGGTTAAATTTCTCTGAGAAAAGATAAAGCTGAATAATTTTTTTATATCTTGTATTATTGACTTGTGATTTTTAACTTATAATTTTGTGAATTTTTTTCAATGTCTTCTTGCTAATTTTTGTCTAAGGATGTACTTAAAATTTAAAAAATTTCTGATTGCGAGTATTAGTCTATAAATATTACTTTAGAACTATTAGGCAGGTATGTCAATTTATTGGAGGTTTTAAGCTCACATTTTTGAAGTAGGCAACTTCTTATTTTGTCTTATTTATGAAGATAATAAAATTTTAGTTTGTATTTAATTTCACTTTCTACCTTTTAAATTCTATTTTTGTAGATTCAAGAAAGAATCATCTTTAATGCAAGAAATAATTTACTTCCCCCCCTTAGGGAACTAAGAACTCGTTTAATCTTAACGACCTTGCATTTCAATTTCTCTTGATACTCACACTGTCCAATAAATTAGAAACTTTTGATTATTATTTTACTTGATTTCCTTTTACACTGACACTTTTATTTTATTTCCTTTTTTTTTGGAGCACTTTAGTCTTTTTTTTAAGTTAACTTTTTACTTTAAATATATACAAAATTAGATTGTGTTTACCAATCATGTTTCCATACTACAATACAATTAGAGAAAAGTTACAGCAAAATAGCTCAATGTCTTTAAAAAAGATGTTATTAGATATTAAGCAATGTTCCACTTTCAAAGAATTTGAAAATCTGGAATTAGCAAGGATTTTGGCTGAAAAGTCCAAATAGTCAAGATATTTCTTTCTTTTTGTGTTTTTTAAGAAAAAAATCAAAACATGCAAAAATTCTACAACAAACGTGAAAAACTTTTAATCTTAAGTAACAATAAGTAGTTCAAAGTAATTAACTCTTATGCGTATTAACTCTTATGTGTATTACAATTATTGCATATAAAAATTTCATTACCATTTGCTTTAACTTTATTGGAGTACTTAAATTAAAATGTAAAACTCAGTGTGAATAAACTTTTTTATAAGCAGTTCTTCGCTTTAATTTGTTTCTTAATTGTAACTATATTTACATTCAATCAATATTATTCACTAAGCTGACAATAATTGTTCAATTTAACGTTACTGTGAATCACAAGTAAAAAATATTATAACCCTGTGACTATATTATAACTAATATTATGACTAATGTGACTTTAAAATAATAAATTTTGAATTTAAAATTAGTTTCAATGGTTTTTTTTTTCTTTTTTTAAAGTTAAGTCTAAAATAATAGATTTCTCACAGTTTTTGTGAAAAATATCAGGATTGTTAAGCATATATGTTAAAACTTACAATTACAATTTATAGAAAATAAATCATACTAAGTGATAATCAGTGTCTTACAATATTTTATTAAAATAATTGATAAATTCAATTTTCTATTCAACAAGTATGTTTAGTCACATATTATGTTAAAAATAAAGTCTTGTTTTCATGATAGAAAATATTTAAAAAAAAAAAAAATTGGTTTGATAGTTTTTCAAGAAAACTTGAAAAATTCATCGAATTTTATTCTTGTAATTTCGTACAAAGGATGGTTTTGTCTAATATAGAGATAATATAAACAATTACTTCATAATATATGTATGTTATTGTGGTATCTGTTATTTTATTATTTACATTTTATAGAGAGGTGATATGGGCCAATGCAAGAAAGTACATGATGTGGCCCTAAGAGCTGATTATGAAAATTCGTCAAAGAAAGATGAGCTAAATTTTCAAAGAGAAGTAAGTATTTACCAGAATTTCAATTTTGATGGGAACGTAGTTTTTCTTTTTTAAATTTTTTTTTAAAATTTAAATTTTAAATTTATATTGTTGAATTAAAACATAAAATTTTATTAATAATTTATTCAAAGAGTAATTTTTTTAAAATCTTTTCTTCAAGGTCAAAGTAAAGTAGCATTAGTTTTATTCACTTTTTAAAATTAAATTCTTTTATTTGTTTTTGAAAGAAAATGTTTTCATTCCAGTTTATTTTAAGAAACTTGATAACAAGTGTGATATTGCTCATGCTTCATGCTTGCTAATTTTTAATTATATATATTTATTATAATACCTTTCATTATTTATTTTATTTTCATTGAGATCAATATATATTTTTTTCAAAACAATAAATTAAAAGAAAAAAAGCGATTTCGAAAAAAGACAATTAACAAGGTTGACATTATCAGGAGGCAAAACCTGAAGCTATACAAAGAGATTATATAATGAAATATGCCATTGTATTAGACGAATTATCTGGATGATTATGATTGGGGAAGAAATGTTAGCATTGTGTTTGATATTGTGACAAAATTTTATGTTAGAATTAGTATCTATATTATATAAAACGCTAATATGTATGTATCAATTAAACCAATGATATTTCTTTTCTCGCGTGTGGCAACAATTTTCATTTTTAATTGATAGGCTTCGGCATGCAAGAGCACGTAGTGAGCCTCATATGGCTAATCTATATTATATAAAACGCTAATACGTTTTAATTGATAGGCTTCAGCTCACAAGAGCACGTAGTGAGCATCATATGTCTAATCGGGTGAATTCTCACCGAATTATCAAAAGAATTCTCACAAAATTATCTTCATCGAAGCCGATGCTTTACATCCTGTGTTCAGTACTATTTCATATTGTTTTACAACACATGGTTTTAGCCCTCTGGTGGGAAAGACTTTAAAACAAAACTTACAACAGTTACTTTTCTCAACAACTGAAATTTAGAATAGTGTGATTAAGAAAAATATGTGAACTGTTTGCAATTTCAAATTAATATTGAAATGCACAGGTTTAGAATTTTCTACAGTGAAAAGTTTTCGGAACTTCAGTGTTCAAAAAAGTAAGTTAGACGTTAAGATCGTATCCAATGAGAGAGCAAAGCGAAATGAACTGCGAAAGCAGTTCCGAGGGTTGGCGAGCGCCAGCGAGCAGTGGGCAAAGTCTCCTAGTATTGTTTATATAAAATTTTACAAAATAGTGTCTATTCTTAAGAAAATATAAGAAAATTTAACCAATGTATCAAAATGTATAGTAAAATAAGTTATCTTCTATTATTTTGAATAAAAATCTCTAGAAGGACAGTTATTCTTTACTTTTGTTTCTTATGCATGAAAAGTCTAGTTTATCATCATTCATACTAATTCTCATTATTTATTAAGGCTCTTATGCAGCTGAAAAGTTTTATTGGTGAAAGTGAAAGAAGAATTCAAATAGCTAAAGTTCGTTTAGCAGAAACACAAGAAAATCTTAGCAATGAAGAGCAAGCACGGGTAAGCGATGAGGTTATCATTTTTAAATGGTCAAGTTGTTTATAATTTTGCTAAAATGAAAATGAAGGAATGAATAAGGAAAATAGTTATTAATTAGACCTATTTTGAAATTATCACTCTCTTTCAAAAACTCTTTATACTTGGAATTATTTCTGTAAAACCTAAGAATCTGATTGGTAATAGTATTAGAAAAGACCTTATTGGCTAAGTTGGAATTAAAATTGATCCTTACTGGAAAGCTAAAATTCCTTAAGTCCTTAAGGTTTAAAGGAAATTTGTTTATCTTCATTAATTTTAAAAGTTAAATCTAGAAATATAATTTTGTTGAAAGTTAATTCTCTTGGATAAATTTGCTTAGCTAAAATTTCAAAATCCTCATAATTAATAACCAAAAGATCATCAATAAATCTGAGAATGAAGGAATTCTTTGGAAGAATAAATTATCATGATTTGACAAATGTTTATTCTTGGAGAAAAAGAAAAATATTGCAAACATAAGTACTAAAATTATTTCCCATATGGATATCATTGATATGTGGAAAAAGACAGTCATTAAATAAAATATAGTTGTTAAAGTTAATATGAATGAACAAGAAATATGTATATATATCCCATTGTCACAACTTGGAATTATGTATTTTATACCTTTTCTCTTCAATTTTCATTACTATTGCATTTATATCTTAAATTTTGCTGTGTGTGTATATCTATCTATCTATATATATTTGTATGTTTTCAGAAAAACTATGCTTTTGTGTCTAATTCCGTATCTTAAATACTAATCAGCGATAGTTGTTTTACATATTTGAGGTGAGATTGACACTCACAATTTCTTGTAAATCTCATCATTAGAACAAAAGGGTGATATCTTATTTTTAGTGTATTGTATGTCTGCTCATGCAATTTTCATTCAGAGTTTGCAAAATATTACAGCAAATTTGAATTTTTTTTCTTTTAGATGTTATAACATCAAATATTGTAATATTTTATTTTACATTTGATAAATCGGTTGGAAAAAAAGTTCTAATCTGCAAAATACAGTTTTTTTTGAAAAAACCATTTTGTTGTTATTTTAGTTAATTCCAGTAGTTTATTTTATTAATTTTGATTGCTGCCATATTTATAACCTTTATATGGTGTTTTTGTCAGGGTTTGTTGATTTAAATCATGATTTTTAAATCAAATGATTTTTTAAAAAAAAAATATCATTGATCTAAATCAACTGATTTTTTATCTATATGTATATTGACTTAAAAAATTAAAAAAACAGTGTTTTAAATTATTGATACTTTTATTCTTTTCTTTTTTTAGTTTTAAAATTTATTTTAAATAAATTACTGCATTAATCAATTTTAGTTAACGAAATTACTTTCTTTCTTGGTGTGTGTTAAATTCCAACACATTTGAAATTACATTTTTAAAAATCTTTTTATATTGCATCATCTCGAGAGCTGTTAATATTTGGAATAAATTGGGAAAAGATCTAAAAGAGAATCTTGATAAAGCCTGTTTAGCAAAATTTTCAAATTGCTATAGTCAGGCGTTAGGCTCGCCACATCTCCTAGCAAACTTGTTACATCCCCATTATGGTGGAATTAACTTGACCCCTGATGAAGAAACAGAAAGTTTAATTTTCATAAATGAAAAATACCCACAGTCAATAATGCCTGTTATTATCAAATATCAAGCTAAGTCAGAGCCATTTCACAAGTTCCTTTTTAACCCTAATGTTGTCAATCAGGTTAATCCTATAGATTGGTGGAAATCTCAAACTGCCGGGAATGAGGATGTTAAAAAAGCTGTGTTAGATATGATTTCACAGTTATTTTCAGCGCAAGCTCCTGCTACATCTGTTGAGTGAGTTTTTTCGACATTTAGTTTAGTACAATCTAAACTGCGCAATCACTTAGGAACGGAGAAAGCTGGAAAACTTGTGCTTCTTTAGCAACAAATAACAAACTATTGTATTTATGTTATCCTTAATATTGTGTACATTAATTTCAAATCACAATGAAAATGTCTATGTTATTAAATTAAATAACCCAGAATTAGAATTGTGCTGTCTCTTTTATGAATACGTATTTTTTTTCCTCATAATATGTTTACAGTATCTTTGAGATTATCAGATTTTCTATAAAGAAATTTTGTGAAACAAAATTCCAATGAGTACATAGATTTTGTAAATTTTTTTTTTAAGTTATCTATTTTGATGTAGGATTAAAAATGAATATTTTAATATGAAAATATATAGATTAAATATTTATTTATTTATTGATGAATGACTACACTTATAAACACAATCTGTTACATTTATTCAGTCATTTAAAATATGAAGAGCAAAAAAAGAAAAAAAAAAAAGAAATCACAATTTTAAATAAAAATTATGGTTTGCTAATTGAAATTTTGTTTTAATAGTTAAAGTATCCTTTATTTTATCTAGTCTTTAAATTTCTATCATGCACTTGTTTCAAAATGGTTGCTAGGAATTCAAAGCTATGTATTATAATGAAAAATTGTTTTAGGTAGTTGGAGCTTCTAAAATATTGTTATAATATAGTTTTAATATTAGTTTAATTTTGATAAAACATTTATAAGTTTTTTAAAATCATAAATCAAGGTTCTTACAGTGTGTTTGAATAAAAAAAAAATCCGATTTTTAAAAAATATTTAAAAAAAAAATCAAGAACCCTGGTTTGTGTATGTTTTAACAAGTGAACATACACACATTTTTGGGGTGTGATGTGGGGATAGTATCAGTGCAAGTTTCTCACTTTTCTGTTCTACTTATTTTTAATTTGTAGTTTTTCAATCAGTAATTTTTCTTTTTATTTTGAAGATTGCTAAAATTAAGCAGATAGGTGTAGAAATCAATGAGATACTGGCTCAGGCAGAGAAGTTAGGAGCAGAAGGTGATGTTGATGGATCCTTGAAACTGCTGGAGACAGCTGATGCTCTCAAGAAAGAAAAGAATGAAGCTGAGGTAAACCTGATTTTTTTTTACTTAATACAGTCAAACCCCGCTATAGTGAACCGTCTGCGAACTCAGTAATGTGTCCACTATAACCGATGGTTCACTATATCCAAATTTTTTGAAGAATATTTTTTCCATAAGACAGTTGAATGACTGAAAATTGGCTTTGCAATTTTGCATAAGTTATTTAAAAAAATTATTAACTAATTAACAGATAATAAAGCAAAAATTGATGGAAAAAGTAATTACGTCGCTAAATATTAGTTTTATTTTCACTTTTTATGAAAAAAATTTGTGATTTTTGATTGAACACAATTTGATTTTAAATTGAGTTCATCAATTTTCTTATCTACAATGTGCAAAGAATGCAAGATTTTTACATTTTGAACAAGATTTCGAACCATCTTAACAAAGCATCTTCTACGTTTTCTCTTTCAGCTCCACGCAGTTTTTTCGATGAAACCATGTTTTTGTCGTATGCCGCAAGAATTGCACTTCGATTTTTCCAAATGTTTGAAACTGTAGATTTTGACAAGGAAAATTCCTTACACAGTGTCGATTGATTGGTTCCATCATCAATACGCTTTACAATTTTAACTTTGTCAATACCCATACTAAACCA